CACACACACACACACACACACACACACACACACACACACACACACACACACACACACACACTCTGAGACAGTGGTTATTGGGAGAGGTGGGTGCAAATGAAGCATAAAGGTGCATCTGCATGCCACATCTTAGGAAACACGTTTTTCTCTTCTTTAAGCTTGGCAAAAGGAAAAGTCTGAGTCAACGTCTCATAATCAGCTGTTCCATTATGATCATATAACCTTTTTTTTTCCTTGCCATACACTTCTTTTAGTGTGGTTTTGTAGAAATGCACAATGTTCTTGCCTGTAACCAAAATTGTCATAAAAGTCTTTTTTGTTAAATCAGGGACCTCAAGTTTTACAAATTTCAGGTTTGTAGTTTGGATGCAAAGCTTGATAAATTACAATATCATGTCTGAAATCTGCAAACTCAAGTTTTGCTAATGTGTGCATTCAGTAATTTAAGTTTACAAGCATAAGAAGCAGGCTGGTTTTGAGGGAAGGAGGGTGAACTCTCAAGCTGCTGACCAATTTCTGTCTGGAATTTATGCACACAACCCCAGCTGGCTAATTACTCTTGTCAGTTGACATAGAAACCCTTCCATTTTTATAGTGTGCTGTGTCTGTCACTAAACACAGAAACATGGCTCTATTGATGATTGATGCAGTTCAACAAAGTTGGACAACCTATGTTTGTCAGATCTTGTTTTTTTGCTTCATTAAGTATAGATGTCTGTTTTGTCAAAAGCGCCAGTGTTAGTTATTGGCACTAAACACTATACTAGACATAACCTAAAGTTTTCTAGTCAACAGAACAGAACAGCTTGTTCTTTGAAAATATTTTCAAAAAAGAAAAAAAAAGTTTGTTAAATGGTTATTATAGACAGCTTCTACCATGGCCTTGTCTCTTGTTATCTCAGTTTTATTTTCATGATACTCTCTGGTAAAATGGTAAAAGAAATCTGACAGGAGTCTTTTTTGCATTTTTTTGATATAGTGATGCAAAATTTCTTCGCTCTCAGTTGTCCAAAATTACTGTTGACCATTCTTTACACCAGTACCAAACTCTTTGAAAAAATTTATTTCCCCCAACCTTTAATATAAGAGAAAGTTGCATCTTATTATAAAAAAGAAATAGAAAAATAAATCCTGCCATACTCTTAAGTTACTATATTTAGCCATGTTTTTTCAGATGTGGAAGCACTAACATATTGAAAATGTGAGCCTAATTTTCTCAGTACACTCATGCAATCAATCTCATTCTACATTTCTGTGAACTTTGCCAAAGTTTAGCCTAATATTGAGGAACAAGCAATTGTTTGTACTGCAAGGAAACAATTGTGACATCACTCTTGTGCATAGAGTGTCTTTGTCTTCAGAGATGGRACTTTTCTCATTCAGATGTTTGTTTCACCTTATGTTATTAAAAGTACTCAATGTGTTTTACTGTTCACTTTATAAAAAATTGTGACAATTACACTATCCTGCTCTGTCAAAGAAACATATGAGGTGATAGAAGACACCCCATCCGAGGCACTCATGTCAGACCACAGCGTCGCTATTAAGCACTTTGTCTGACGCATTTGAGAAGTGCTTTCCACCGGGCTAATTCAATTGGCTTGATTGATTTGCAGTTAAAAGCCTTTCTTCCTCTGGGCAGAGGAATCCGTTCCAAATGCTACCCAGTGGGCTACCTTGAGCTGGGCTGGCCCGCCAGATCACTTGGTGCCAGGTCTACTTCCTGTGTAGGATTTCACTGGGCAAGATCAATACTTGTAGCCAGTTAATTGGATGAACACTGACACTCACATTTCTCCTCTCTCTACTTTATGGTCCAAATAAAAGCCGAATATAGGTTTTTACAGAAGGGTTCTGTCCCTTTACAGTAGGTAATATAACTGCAGAAATTATGGTAATGCAGTATGGATGTGGTCTGCATATATATATAT